CCGCCATGATATGTTGCTTGAGATCATTTACCTCCTGTTTCAGACCCATAAGTTTGTTGGCCAGGAAGATGATGACCTTGGTGAGCTCTTTGTAGTCATAACTCTCGCTTGAGTGATGAGTCAGTGGTACTCTTCCCTCGGTGTCCAGTTGCTTTCGGCTCTGGTGCAGTAGGTTGTCGGCAGCCCTGGGTAGAAGGGTGTTCCTCACAACACCTGGCCAGTCCTTTTGGTCTGCCATCTGGGCAGTTAGACTGAGCATCTGCAACATTTTGGCAAACTCATGTTGAGAGTAAGGGCTAGAGACTAATACAAGATCAAACAGAGTGTGGAGCTAGGTTTTGCCAGGTGTTGTTAGCTGAAGTATTAGGTTATTATCTTAGCTGTGGATGACAGAATGCTAAGATAGGTTTGGGTCAGCATATGTTTGCTGAAAAGGGCGTAAACAGAGTTCTGATTGATGACTTAAGACTGTTCTTATTGTCAAATTATCATTCGGAACTTAGTTCTACTGATGGTTCACAACAGGCTCAATCTCTGAAGAAGTGAAATAGAAGAGGGAAAAGGAGAGCATTCCTATTCAGATTCTTATTACTTGGTGCTCAGGACTAGAGTTGTGCCCTAGTATTTGTCTAGATGACTTGTGTAACGGTCATAAAATTAGAGCACATGTTGAAAATAAACAAATCAAAAATAAAAGTGTCTCTGGTTCCTTTTGAGGTTCAGAGAGAACATAAAATCAAAGGGGAGCAAAAAGGGGTTTAAAATGTAAATGGATTTAAAATTAGCCGACTGCTATTATTAAAATAGGGTAATCAATCTGGTATTAGGAACAATCAGTAGCACTAGTGATTAACTGTAAGCTTTGTGTTGGGCAACACACCATGGCTGGTCACAGCTGCTGCGTGTTCAGCTCCCATGCCACGGCCATACCATGTGTGTGCCCCGCCCTCCATAGAGTGTTATTCACTGTGTTACTAAAAACACCCAATAACGTAATAATTCTTCTCTAGATAGACAGTTAAAATGTAATTAAATTTAGATTTAATTAACTAGTAACTGAGCAATAGCATTCAGGAAGGATACATCTAAGATTGTTACATTCGCTGAGACAAATTGAAGATGGGGAAACATAGAAAAGAACAGAAAAAGAAAGTGAAAAATCAGAAACCAGTGATTAGTTTAAGTTAGAATTACTTCACACTGCATACACACATGCTGTATTTAAAAGCTTCAAGTAAAGGGGTGCTAACCCCTAATTGTTAAAGCTATTTGGTAGCTTAGGCTAAGATGAAACTATGCTAAGTCGTGTTAGCTTAGCCGCTTAAGGGGGTTTGTTTACAACATGGCATCACCAGGTGACGCGTGTGCTATGTGGAGTTAGCACTTCCTGTAACAAGTTGTTGTCATGGTAACCAATGCATGCCAGTGCAATTCAAGCAGTTTAGTGTCTGGCTAATTTCAAAGAAGTTG